CAATCCTTCGGCTTTAACAGTAACGCTATCTTATCTCACGCAGTCGCAACAATGCTGTCAGGTAGCTGGCAGATGGTTGCCCCGAGGGGCACACAAAACTTCACTTGCTGGGAATCTCCACTGTACCTTACAAATCCTGGTGATTTAGCTATACATTTGCCATCCTCACATGTTTTATTAGCTGGGAGCTGGGAGATAATGAATGAGAGGCACTTTGAACACCTGAATATGATGATGAGGATAAAAAATAACTCCAGTGTAATAATGAAACTTCAAACTGTCTGTAACAAATTAATCCTAGTGTCAGGAGCAACCACAACAATGCCTAGGAACTCTAAGTTTTTTGTGCAGTTGTCACTGGAACTGTAGTTTGGAGCATTTTCCCAGACGCTTGTTGTTGTTTAGTCGTTTACTCGTGTCCGACTCTTCGTGACCCCATGGACCAGAGCACGCCAGGCACTCTTGTCTTCCACTGCCTCCTACAGTTTGGTCAAACTCATGCTGGTAGCTTCGAGAACACTGTCCAACCATCTCATCCTCTTTCGCCCCCTTCTCCTTGTGCCCTCCATCTTTCCCAACATCAGGGTCTTTTCCAGGGAGTCTTCTCTTCTCATGAGGTGGCCAAAGTATTGGAGCCTTAGCTTCAGGATCTGTCCTTCCAGTGAGCACTCAGGGCCGATTTCCTTCAGAATGGATAGGTTTGTTCTTCTTGCAGTCCATGGGACTCTCAAGAGTCTCCTCCAGCACCATAATTCAAAAGCATCAATTCTTTGGCGATCAGCCTTTTTTATGGTCCAGCTCTCACTTCCATACATCACCCTGGGAAAAACCAAACACTAAAGTGTTCTAAATTTTGGATTGGTCCTGCCCACCTGGGCTGACCAGTGGGTCGCCCTAGTCAAGAAGAGCTATAAAAGCTTCATATTTGGAATAGGATTTTAGGGCTAGCCATAACAATCTGGGTTATCAAACCGTTTTTGATACAGTATAAACCAGAAGCAGTCGCATTTATCATGTTACCTTCTTTCACACAAAAAAGGCAGGTGCGATTTAAAACTGTTTGGATATGGCTGAATAGCTATCAAGAGCTGCAGCTGGCCTGACAAATTATCTATAGCTTTCAAGAAATGCTCTCCACCTACAGCCATGCTGTTTTTACTTTTAAGGCTGTAATAAAAAGCAGCTTGTTCCTGTGAAAATGTCGTTTTCTTTATGTATCTTTCTTAATAGAAGAAGAATGTTAAAAGCATTTCACTTGCCAGTAACTTAAAACTGTGGACACAGAGCATGGAAGCAGAAGTAAATAGTTTTATGAGTAGTGTTTTAAACTACATCCAGGTTGATAAATAGTAAAAACACGCTCCCTCCGCCTTTGTTATGAAGAGATGCCTTATTTATCAACCCTGAACATAGGTCATTATACTGACTGAGACCATGAGTTCTTCTATTCTAGTAGCAACAGTTCATTCTCAACTGGCAACAGTTTTCAATGGTCTGTTCCTGTTCTGCTTAAGGACATATGTTTACCATTTCCTTAAGCAGAAATCTTTGCTTCGTCTTTCACGAATGTTCCAACTGAACAGTTGAAAAAAGGCTAACATCTGCAAACGCCTGCCTCCATCATCTAATAACATCTCCTACCAGCAAACCTAACACCTTACTTCATTATTTGTGATGGCTGCACAGTAAAAACAATAAACTGAACTGAACTCCTAGGATACTGGAGGGCAGCAGAGCGTTCTCTGGCAAAAGAGAGTCAGGGTAGCAGTAGGAAATGGTTTCCCTAGCATCTGGAACTGAATTCTCTCCAATTATTTCTGTTCCTTGGACATGGAGACATGCATAAAGGCACATGCCCCAAACAAGCCTGCTGATAATTTATTTAAAACATCATAGAAGGTGAAAAAAAATATACTATGCTCCTATGAACAGCAACAGAAAGCTGGAATTTGCAGATTGGAACCCTTGGTTTGCAGGTAATCAAAATTTGCAATGAGCCTGGTATTATTTATTTATTTATTTATTTATTTATTTATTTATTTATATTAAGTACAAATTAGAAAACATACATATTTACAACAAAAGAAAATACAAAGGAAAAAGAAAATACATATAACCAAGGGAAAAAATAGAGAATACTTTGTCTCTTTTCATATTTACAGTTATTTATACCTCTATAAAATGCTATTCACAATAAAGGAGTGAAATGAAAGATAAGATATCGGGGAAAAGAAAAAAAAGAACAAAGAAAAAAATAAAGAAGTAAAAGAAAAGGATCATAGGTGGAAATTTTTAAAAGTAGATAAGTATTCACTATACATAGCCGTTTATCATGATTTGGGAGTTGAAATGTGGGCTGACTTGTGAAACGTGATATGCATAGGGTGAAAGCTACAGTACATTTACGAGGATAGCTGGTATCAAGAGCATGCACTGAAAGAAATGTCACTCTGTGACACAGGGTGATATGTTAATAGTAGGGCACAAATAATGGGATTTCTGTGCAAACCTCCACCATAGAACATGACCTATATAGGGTATGATTGGAATTGCATTTATACAGTCAAATGTGAAATATTCCATCTTGGTTACAAGCTGGGGAACTGTGTCAGTACTAATGTCCAATCTCACTTGCATAATGACACACAAATTCAGCTGAATCCAACAATATTCTGAACTTCTGAATACTGATGGTTTGCCATGGAAAAACAAACATAGCATCTCAGGTACAGGAAATGGAAAACTGTGCAAACTATGAATCGCACCGACAGAACTAGTGTTGGGAAGCTGATCAAGGAATGGTACTACAGTGGTGCCTCGCAAGACGAAATTAATTCGTTCCGCGAGTTTTGTCATCTTGCGGTTTTTTTCCGTCTTGCGAAGCACGGTGTCGGGAAAGTTTTGGAAAAGCTTCAAAAATCACCAAAGTCTTTAAAAACCTCAAAAAAGGCTAGCACACCGCGTTCTATGAGTTGCTCCTCGAAGTCAAGTCGCAACTGTATTAATGGTGTTAAGAAAAAGGAAACAAACTTGCAAGACATTTCCGTCTTGCGAAGCAAGCCCATAGGGAAAATCGTCTTGCGAAGCAGCTCAAAAAACCCTTTCGTCTAGTGAGTTTTTTGTCTTGCGAGGCATTCGTCTTGCGAGGTACCACTGTACCAGGATGGTCTATTAGAGCAACCAGGGCTCAGCCCCATCAAGTAAAATACACAGTGTTTATATATATATAGATATAGATAGATATAGATAGATATAGATAGATATAGATAGATATAGATAGATATAGATAGATATAGATAGATATAGATAGATATAGATAGATATAGATAGATAGATATAGATAGATATAGATAGATAGATATAGATAGATATAGATAGATAGATATAGATAGATATAGATAGATACACACACACACACAGAGAGAGAGAGAGAGAGAGAGAGAGAGAGAGAGAGAGAAATGTGTCTGCAAACACATTTTTTTCAGAATGGCTGGTCCACTCTCTCTTTTAATGTTCAAAGATTCAGCTGATGTATGGAAGTGAGAGCTGGACCATAAAGAAGGCTGATCGCCGAAGAATTGATGCTTTTGAATTATGGTGCTGGAGGAGACTCTTGAGAGTCCCATGGACTGCAAGAAGGTCAAACATATCCATTCTGAAGGAAATCAGCCCTGAGTGCTCACTGGAAGGACAGATCCTGAAGCTGAGGCTCCAATACTTTGGCCACCTCATGAGAAGAGAAGACTCCCTGGAAAAGACTCTGATGTTGGGAAAGATGGAGGGCACAAGGAAAAGGGGACGACAGAGGACGAGATGGTTGGATAGTGTCCTCGAAGCTACCAGCATGAGTTTGACCAAACTGCTGGAGGCAGTGGAAGACAGGCGTGCCTGGCGTGCTCTGGTCCATGGGGTCACGAAGAGTAGGACACGACTAAACAACAACAACAAATTCCCCTCAGATGTTATTAGACACAATGGGAAATGGGCAAGCAAACAGATGACAGGCAGCGCTCCCCAACTTTCTTAGGCTGAAATGACTTGAACTTATCCAAGCAATAGTGGCAAGGGGAATTTAAATAGTAAGTACTGTGCTCAGAGTTGGAGAGAATGTGTATTACTTTATCCTGTTCAGGTGCTAGGCCTTTGCTTGTCCTTAGAAAATGCTGAGCCAGAACTCAACCTGGAATCAGCCCTTCTAGGCTAGGCAAGATAAAAAAAATAAACCTGAGATTTTTGAGACTAGAACTCTGGCAAAGATACTGTTAAGATACATTTATTTGTTTTAATGTACTGTACTTTTATCCCTCAGTTCTTCCAAAGAGCACAAGGTAGTGCACATGGCTCTCTCTCTTGCCATTTATTTCTCATAACAACCCTGTGAGATAGTTTAGGCTAAGCGATAATGACTGGCCCACGGCCACCCAGTGAGTTTCATAGCCAAGTGGGGTTTGAACTCCTAGGTCTCCCAGGCTGACACTCTAATCATTACGACCACTGCTTAAATATGTTCCCACTGTAGTTATTTATTTAAATATTTATAAATGGCACTTCCTTATAAGATACGAACCAGTCAACAGGTATACTGCTTAAAATATGTAACCTCATACTGCTATTTACTTGCAATTTGATTTCCCACCACAATTTAGTACAGTGGTACCTTGGTTTACACTCATAATCCGTTCCAGAGGTCCATTTGTAAACCAAAACAGGTTGTAACCCAAGGCATGCATTTGCCAATGGGGCTTCCCCAAAAAATTTGTTCATAATCCCAAAAATAAATAAATTGGGTTGTAATAAAAAAATGGGTTGTAATCCAAAAAAAGTTTGCAAACTGGGACATGCACTTCTGGGTTAAACGTGTTTGTAATTCAAAAAGTATGCAAGCCAAGACGTATGCAAACCAAGGTACCACTGTAATTCTCTTTTCATTACAGGGTTGTTCATTTTAACATATAACATGAACTGCTTTTTTTCTTTTCTTTTCTTTAGATTTTGCTTACCTCCAAATGCAATTATATTCAGAGAAGTTTTTGTCATCATAGTTACGCTGGAAAAAAGGAGAAACATTGCGAGTGTATGGAAGAAGCAGCTAATTTTCATCGAGCCTCCATCTAGTTCAAACAAACTTTTGCGGAAGATTCAGTGTGGCAGCCTAAATCTCCATCAAATCGCCAACAGGCACAACCCCTATCCTGCTGGTGAGAACTCTGAAAAGCGGAGATTTGCCTGCTCCTTTTCTCAGTATTGTGGGGTATCAGGCCACCTTTATTCCTGCGTCAGGGCCGGCTGGAACCTTGCTTCAAAAGATACCCATTCTCGTCAAAGGAAGCAATTTCCATTTCCTTTTTGAACTTATTCTGCAGGAGGAGCTATGCCTCATGGGCACTGCTGGGCAAAATGCCCATTGCAGTTATCTCTAAAACTTCTCCCAGGGCTCCTTGTACCTCTTTTAAACATTATTAAAGAACGGCTCTATCAGGAACTCTGCGCTCCATTATTAATTGAAGTGCCCTGCCTCCTCCCTTGCTGTTATTGTACTAAAACCTCATGTCACACTTATTTATTTAGCTTTCCCTGCTCTGTTGTGCTGCGTATCGACATATGCTCAGGGAGAAAAGAGAATGATCCAGTTGGAATTTGTGGGCTGGAATTCTACTTTCTGTTTAGGCGGCGCGACAGCATTTGCAGTCCCCTCCCCTCCTCGCCCCACTTCAAATGAGATGCTCAGGTCAACATTGGAGGAGACAGCCACAGTTCTGTGCGGTTCAACAGGGAAATGCCCTAATCGCTTACGGAGAGAAGTGTGGGAAACACAAGATCTTAAAAGCAAGACTGTAATTGAGCGGAGCCAGGGGCAGATCAAGGGGGGTGCGGTGGGTGTCTGCTACCCTGGGTGTCATCACTGAGGGGGGTGACAAAATGCCAGGCGGCACTCACCGCGGGGCCTGCAGCATGCCCTAGCCACATGTCTCTCCTGTGAGAGACACAGTGGCTTAGATAACAATAACAATAATTTATTATTTATACCCTGCCCATCTGGCTGGGCTTCCCCAGCCACTCTGGCATAGCTGTCAACCTTCACTTTTCCCCCAGGATATTCCCTTATTCCAGCACCATTTCCCGCTGCTATCCCGGATTGTTAGATAGGGATTGTTAGGACAGGCGAGGCTGCTGATCCCTTATTTTCAAATCTGAAAGTTGACAGCTATGCACTCTGGGTGGCTTCCAACAAAAGATTAAAAACAATACAGCACCAGACATTAAAAACTTCCCTGAACAGTTGTCTTTTCAAAGTAAAATAGTTGTTTATTGCCTTGACATCTGCTGGGAGGGCGTTCCACAGGGCGGGTGCCACTACCGAGAAGGCCCTCTGCCTGGTTCCTGTAACCTCACTTCTTGCAATGAGGGAACTGCCAGAAGGCCCTCAGCGCTGGACCTCAGCGTCCGGGCTAGATGATGGGGGTGGAGACGCTCCTTCAGGTATACAGGACCGAGGCTGTTTAGAGCTCTAAAAGTTGGCACCAACACTTTGAATTGTGCTCGGAAACGTACTGGGAGCCAATGAAGATGATGTATATCAATATACATATTGACAGTATATCAATAGACTCCATTGATTCATATTTTGAATCCATTTCGTCTTGCGAGGCACCACTGTATATATCTATATCTATATATATCTATATATTAAAAAGGGTGATATCCAACGTTAGCATACTCAGTCGATATCAATGGATGTAAGTAACTTGTCAATTGTTTTCAGTGGGCCTACTCTTGAGTTTGACTTAATTGGATACCACCCTAAGGATTTGTTTTTTCCTAAATTTATAGGAACCTGCAGCCTCTAATAAGCAGTAATTGCCATTTGTACTTCAAAGAAAATCTATTTTGTGAGTGAACCTGCAGATTTAAAAAGCTTCAGTTTCGCATAGGAAAAAAGGATGAGGTTAAGGAGCAAATATGAATACAATAGGAAACTATTGTGCAAAACATCATGACTGAGGTACAAAGAACCACGTGACTCATTTTGCATTCCCAAGGGGCTTGTAGGAACAGCTGCCTTTTATTCCAAATGCAAAGCACTTTTAAAACTGAAAGCAGCATCCAAATGCAGCAGCTCTTCTGATCCCAGCCAATGAGATCAGATAACCCAAATTCTGAAGCACATTTGATTACCAGAGCTCATTAGTTTACCTCTTCTCTTCCTGGCATAGCAGGAAAAGGCAAAAAAGTAAGTGAAAGGAACACTCAGCTCCATTGCTATTGATTCACTCACCTGCCTTGGAGGAAATGGAGCCCGTGCCCTTTTTACTTTTTGTCCTTTCCTGTTATTCCAAGCAAGGCAAAATTCTAAAAACTCCACTTTCCCTCCCTCAGGGCAAAAAGAAGATAGAGCAAGTTAAATGGCAAATGCACAATTCCTTCATCAGCAGGATTTGGGAGTCTTTTAACATCTGTGAGTGATCCAGTTTCAATTGGTCTGGTTTAAATGTAATCGATAGCTCAAAGTTAGGTATAAATGCTGCTTTTATCAGTAAGATGATGACAAAAACTGTTGATGCAGTATTCTCTAAACCACTACAGGATGCAGTAAAGTATATGTATATTAAACCACAAAGGCATTGCCTTCTAGCTATCTTCATTGGTCTGATGGAAGAGCATCCCACTTCTAAATAAGAAGCAAAATCACATCTACATATGTAGCAATGAGGTTCTCAACCTGTGGGTCCCCAGATGTTGTTGGACTACAACTCCCATCATCCCTGAGCTCTGGCCTTGCTAGCTAGGGGTGATGGGAGTTGTAGTTCAACAACATTTGGGGACCCACAGGTTGAGAAAGGCTGAATTATAAGTGCTTGTGCTTGATGATGAAAACAAAGAGGAAGGCAATGGATGAATGAAGAGCATATATCAACAGTGGCTTTGTGAATGTTTTATTAGTCATATTAGGTAATCTGGTGTTCCTGTGTTGAACTTCTTCATCAACACAGAGTGTGCGCAGTGAATGGAGCATAGAAATAAAAACCTGTCCACAATATCTTTCTTAAGTTTTATTTTTGAAAACAGAACCACCAAATGCTGCAAGCCAACACTCCTTACCAGCAACTTGCAAGACATTTGGTCAAACTAAATACAGTTTCAATTAACCAATTATCCTATCACATCCATCCCTTCCCGCACCCAGTGCAGAAAGTAACTCCCCTTTAATTAGGCAAGAAGTCGAGTGACCACAGGTGTGCAGCTAAGCAGGTCAAACTGCAAGCATACACCTCTGAAACCAACCTGGGTAGCATTACTGACCACTTTAAGATAAAGAAAAATAAGCAACCCCCTGCTGGTCAATGATGCGTAGCAAAAACATCTAGCATTTTCCCTGTATGTTTAAGATGCATAGCTGTTGGCAAAGCCTTTGTGAAGACATCAGCAATTTGCTTTAGTCCATTCAAAATTAACTATTTTATCATCAAACATTTGTTTTGCAAACTCCAAACGTAACCGTAATGTTCTGGTACGTCGTGTATTGCTCTCCAATGTCAAAATGGCTGTCCCACTCTGGGAATCAATGGGCATGGTTACTGGGAAATTACTTTTATTTTTAGGTCGGCAAACAACTGCAAAAAACATTCTATGTCTCCGATAGCTTGAGAGCATGCACAAAGCTCGCTTTCTGTGGCTGACAGACAAATTATGTTCTGTCTGCGTGATTTCCACTCAAATGGACATTCATTGTATCCGTAAACAAAACTGGACACACCTTTATATTTGAATTGCTCAGACGCGTGAGATGTGGCACAAAAGATATCAAAACCTGTGTCATTGTGTGCCCTAAAATGTAACCTGTAATGCAGTGTGTGCTTCAGGTAAAACACCACTCTTTTTAAGGCTCGAAAACACTGCTTGGTTGGGCTCTCAACAAATTTGGAAAGAAAATTAAAATGAAATGATATGTCTGGTGCTATGTCCTATGTCCTAGGTAAAGGGACCCCTGACCATTAGGTCCAGTCGTGACTGACTCTGGGGTTGTGGTGCTCATCTCGCTTTATTGGCCGAGGGAGCCGGCGTACAGCTTCCGGGTCATGTGGCCAGCATGACTAAGCCGCTTCTGGTGAACCAGAGCAGTGCACGGAAATGCCGTTTACCTTCCCGCCGGAGCGGTACCTATTTATCTACTTGCACTTGATGTCCTTTCGAACTGCTAGGTGGGCAGGAGCTGGGACCGAACAACGGGAGCTCACCCCGTCGCGGGGATTCGAACCACCGACCTTCTGATCGGCAAGCCCTAGGCTCTGTGGTTTAACCCACAGTGCCACCCGCGTCCCTATGTCCCACTGACATCTAAAACAGCAAAAGGCAGTTTTCTTTCTTCAGAAATACCATCTTTCTTCAGAAATAAATGTGTCAAGAAAGAACAACTGTAGAGTTTTACTTTATCAGTTGTGGCTCATGTTCAGTTATGGTTCCTGCACTATTTGGAATAAATGGAATCTGCACCAAAATTTCGCAGTGCACCATCAAACGCCAATAAAGTGCCTCTGTTCAGATTCAGAGCAAGCTAACCATGCTTTTCTCCAGCATACTATAAATTAAGGGGTTCAAGCTGGAAAGTTCAAGTTTCTCCATTTCTGATTTCCTTTTCCAACTGACACTTAGTAATTCATGGCTTCTGGGTGCTGCTAAGAATGTTTGGTCCTAATTGGGTTTCTGGGTTTTAAAAAATGCTTTGTACTTCTGCGTGTCATTATCCAAACTTTCTAATTACTCCCCTCTTATTTCTCACTGGCCCTTCCTAACCTATCAGGATTCAGCCACCTCAATTTTCTGTTAGATGGAAATATGGTATAACATCTTGTTCGCCTATTTCAGAAGATGTTGTCTTAAGAAGAAAAAACTACACGGGCTTTTGTGTTGCTGAAGGTTTTAACCAAACGTAGCAGCAAATTTATTATATTATGACACTTCCCTATTTTTCAGAAGTGTTTTGAGGCTTTGTTGTTTTTTGCTTTCTACTTAAGATTTCTGAGAGAGTTACAGTCAGTCAAAAGCATT